CGCTGCATGCCAAGAGTGGCATGGTCGGCCAAGAGCCGAGGCATCAAGGGCGAGGCCCTTGTGATGCCCGTGGAGTGGCACGTAATCCACTGAGATTACTCACGTTACGAAGCAGTTGCTGCATGCCATGAGTGGCATGGTCGGACGAGGTCCCATGCATTGAGGGCGAGGCCCCAGTGATGCGCGTGCAGTGGCACGTAATCCACTGAACACTGCTCACGTTTCAAAACATTTGCTGCATGCCAAGAGTGGCACGCTCGGACGAGGTCTGAGGCATCTTGGGCTAAACCCTACTGATGCGCGTGGAATGGCACGTCACCAACTAGACAAAGTCTGCGGAGCTAGCTGCTCTTCGGCGGATGTTGTTAATAACATCAGGGCTGCGGTGGAGCAGGAAATGGGAATACTGGACGACGCTGAGTGTGGATTCTCACTGGTCTCGCCGAGACGTAGAACCTCCGGGTCCAGGCAACGACGACGCCGTATATTATCTGCAAGACGCAGGAGATTGAACCTGACCCAGGGTGTGTCTACCGTAGATGATAGCGCACAGCTATACATTCTCGTCAACGGTATGACAAGGAAGGAGGACGGCGACGTCACCTTCGAGGCTATTCCTGCGGTGGGTGCTCTTCTTGAGCTGGACGAGATGTGTTTGGCAGTGCCTTGAAGGCAGACAATTTTGCCGAGGTGATCACTATGCGACCGAACGAAGAGATTATGCGACCGAACGAAGAGATTATGCGACCGAACGAGGAGATTAACTCGTCATCAATCTGAATGAAGCTGTCTTGAATGACACTCAGAGGGTGCTGAAGGCACGAAGTGGTTCGTCGATCCCGAAAGATTCCTCGGATACTTACAACTGTTCGATGAAGGAATTTAAGACGTCTTCTCCAACTACCCGCCATCGGTCCAACCTTCGGACCGAGGTGTGCGTCATGAGATCGACCTGGTTCTGGAACCAGATACTGCGTAACACGCGAATGGCCCCTATCCAAGGGACAGTATGACGTCATTGTCAGCTTCTTCCGTGCAAAGCACGACGCAAGAATGGCGCGTGAAAGCAAGTCTACTCAATCGACTCCCACATTTTGCCGAACGGCAAGTGGCGTATCGTTCACGCTTAATAAGCTAAACGCTGCTACCATTCCAACACAGACGCCATATCCTTGAAAGGATGTTCTCCAGAACAATATGGTTGTCTGTACAAAGTACTGCGCACTCGACTTGGTCGATGGGTATTACCGATTGCTCATGAGAGCGAGTGACATTCCGCTGACAGCGGTAAGCACTCCGAGCGGCATG